CAACCAAGACAAAATGAGTGATCATGGAGAAAAGATGTCACATGCTTTTTGCCAGCCTTGGTCCAGTATTCCAAGACTAACTTTCTTTGGGTAAAACTATGTATAAACTCAAATGCATGGAGTATAGGTGGGCTTTTAATAACTACACTTAGAATAACGAACAGGAGTTTAAGTAAAGATTCTCTTTTTAGCATTTTTATGCCAGTGGAGTTTCTTTCAGACTGGCTTTTCACCCGGAAGCCTAAGGAAGGCAGTGGAAAGAATTTTGAGGTGGGAATCACTAAAAAACGGAGCCTTGGCTTTAGCTGCTTCCTGTTCTTTGTGTTTATTGTGTAACTCAGGACAAGTGGACCCAGCCTTCCCGGACTCAGATATGAGAGATTGTCTGTAAAATGAGAGATGTGGACTAAAATAAGTACTTCTCCATCTTTAATGTGCATATGAGCCTCCTGGAGATGTCATTAAAATGTAGTTTCTGATTCACCAGGTCTGGGGTGGGGCCGGAGACTGCATCTCTAACACCCTCCCAGGTGATGGCCATGAGGATGGTCCACAACCACACCTGGCTTAGATTACCCTTTAAGGTGTCATTAGGCTATAAGCTTAAATGGTTGCCAAATCACGAAAAGCATATCTCACAATTAATAACAAGTATTTATTTTTAAAAATGAAAATGCTTGCATTTTCTGTTTATAAAAGTAATTCATGCTTATCATTTTTTTAAAATAACACAATTTATAAAGTGCAAGGGTTGACAATCATCCAGGGTTAAATACCACTCAAAATAGTGTGCTCTCTTTTCACTCGGTCATGAAGAACACAAGTGCTAAGTTCCAGTATTCCTTTGTATTACCTCACCTCTTCCAATCAGATCATGAAGCTGGTAACTTTTTCAATTTGCTGCGTCAGCTGGGAGTTCATTGATTTGAATTCAGTTCCTCCTCTTGTGGTAGATTTGCTCCCGTATCATGTGATTTCCAGCTACTCATTGTCCAGATTCAGGAGGAGGGAAAGCCTTTCTAATCATCCCTACCACGTTGAATGGACCTGAAGGTATCGAGAAGACAAAGGAGATACCTGAATACTGAGAATAATTTTTAAGAGACTTAAAACACAATTCCGAGTTAAGATCATTAAGAGCTGATGGACATGGGGTCCTGCCTCCACATTAATGTTTGGGGAATGACTTAGGATGATCATCATTGATTGAGGAGGAAATCTGACTCGTTCCTCTGCACTTTCCTCTGTAATAGTTAATGTTATTTAAATGTTAAATGCTCACATTAAAGCTATTTGAATGTACTTAAAATGACTGCAATAATAACAACATAGCCTTAAGAGCCTGTTGGTCATTACAAATGATATATGACACATTTGAAAGGCTCGATTAGGGTTGATTGAAATATACAACTATTCAACATAAGATTAAAGATTCCAAACATCAAATTGATTTTACTATTTACACATTTTTCTTTGTCTACTTGAAACAGCCACAACTCCTAATTTAGTATACAGTGAGGTGATTATAATTGCAAATCTATGATATGTTTATATTTTGTAATTTGAGGAAATTTTCAAAGTGTGTATATATTTATATGGATTTACTTATATTTGTAATCCTAATATCAGGCAAATGAAATAAAGCACAAATATTGTCAGCATGCAGCTAACAAGGTGTTAAGAGAACAGGCTGTTTGAAATACCATTAATAACTCAACCATCTAGAGTGGCAGTTAAATATATGGTTTGTAAGTTAGCATTTTAGATAAATGATATTCATTACCTTAAATACCAAAATTCAGGCTAAAAAAACTTTTCTGAAACACATAGCATTCCCTCTTTAACAGAGAGCTCTGAAAATATTTTAATCTTTAGGACACAATATGTTGTAATCATCATCGATTATTCTTTGCTACTGTCCTAAATCGTCCTAGAACGCTATGACTTTGGAAACCTTGAATCTTTGCGTTTTTACCCATAATCACTTTCTTTTATAAAAGTTATAAATGTTCATTGTTGAAATTTTTTCAAAATGCAATAAAATATAAAGAAACAATAAGAATCACCCTCAACCTCACAGGCCAGAATAATCATTAACAGTTTAATGACTTTTTTTGCACACCGTATGAGTCTCCATGGGCTTCCATGACAAATGACCTGCTCTGAGGGGTTTTAAAAACCAGAAATTTGTTCTCTCACAGTTCAGGAGTCCAGGTGTCTGAAATTAAGGTGTCAGCAGGGTTGGTTCCTTCTGGAGGTTCTAAGGGAAAATCTGTTCCATGCCTTTCTCCTAGCTTCTGGTGGTTGCCAGAATACAGGCTTTGGCACTCATTGGCTTGCAGACACACTGCTCCAAGCTTTGCCTCCAAGCCATCCCATGGTCTCATTCTCTATGTAAATTTCTCTCTGTCCTCTCCTCTTCTTACAAGAACTCCAGTCATTGGACTTAGGGCTCCTCCTAACTCAGTATGAACTCATCCTAACTAATTACATTCTCAAAGACCCTGTTTCCAAATAAAATCACCTTCTGAGGTTCTGGATGGACATGAATTTTGGGGGGACACTTTCCAATCCATTATAGGCCATGTAATAAATATTTGTATAATTATAAAGAAGAGTTTATGTTTTATACATAGCTTAGTTTGCTCTTCACTTAATATATTGTGAAAGTTTCCTCCTGTCTTTCAAATACAGCGTTTTAAATTTATGTAGTGTGTTCTAGTATATGAATATCATATCATTTATATAACTAACCTGCTACTTTAGACATTTAAATGGTTTTCAGTCTTCACTATTGTAAATGACTCTAATGAATCTACATGTGCCTAAATCTTTGAGATCATCTCTGTTTATTTCCTTAGCATAAATTCTAGGGAGTTGAATTATTGCATAAAGAGTATGACTGTTTTAAAGGCTCATGATAGATCTTGTTTAATTGAATTCCAAAAAGAATATACCAATTTACTGTCACCAGCAAGAGAGGAAAGAGCCCATCGTATAGCATCCTCTTTACTTGTATGTTAGTTTTCTGAATGCTTGACTAGTGGAAGGGCAAAGAAATGACAGCACATCTTATATTTTTATAGGAGGTTGCATATTTGTTGTTGATGCTTATTGGCTATTTGTGTATCATTTTTTTATGGTGTATTACAGTTTACTTCTTCCATGTCTTTTAATTAATTAAAAGTAGGCTCCACACCCAGCATGGATCCCAACATGGGGCTTGAACTCACAACCCTGAGACTGAGACCTGAGTTGAGATCAAGAGTCAGATGCTTAACTGACTGAGCCACACAGGTGTCCCAATATCTTTTATGTCTTTTTAAATTTATCCACTGATCAGCATTAATTTCTTACAGTCTTGCTGATTGAACATACCTCTTGTTCTCACCCCTTACAGTTTGCAGTAAGCTAAGAATCCTCAAGCAGACTCCCCACTGAGCGTGGAGCCAGACTCAGGGCTCCAACCCAGGACCCTGAGATCAAGACCTGAGCCAAAATCAAGAGTCGGCTGCTTAACCGACTGAACCACCCAAGTGCCCCAAAATAAATGGATTTTAAAACATAATTTGGAAAGTTATGACAACACTTAAAAATTGCATCGGCTGTAAGAAAGGTCTTGCAAGCATCTTTTATAAAGAATTTCTATATGCTCAAATTAATTTTCACCTGGATATTAAAATAAGCCATTGCCACAAATGGTTTTTCTCTTCAGATCCCTGTTCAGACTCCTTTTTAATGCCTTTGATGTCTTCTATCCTCCAGGGCGCCCCATCTCCCTCCCTCCCACCACATACCATCAACATGCCACGCACCCTATAGGACCCAGTCCAAACCTCCTTTCCTCAATTATGAATGCCCACCTTTCCCCCACCATAGCTGAAAAACTCTTCCATCTTCTCTGTCCTCATGGCATACTGTTTTGTTTTGCTTTTAGCAATTTGTAGGTCTTCATAATTTTGCAATGTGGTCTAGTTATTTGTGAGCATTTGATTTTTCCCTGTGGATCGTAAACATCTAAAGAAATGGGAGTGAACACAGGAGTCATACCTAAATACCCAAATGTTATTTGCGACTATGGTTCCAACGGTGGACATTTGAAGGGCATACCTCTGAACTATATGGAGATTGAAATAATGTTGTGGGAAGGTTAGAAACCTGGCATTTCTGGAGTTTCAACAGCCCGCCCTTTTTTAAAGTTCCGATGACACTGTTTCATTATAAAGGTCTGCCCAGATCCTCTCCAACACACTACATGTAAATGCCATGTGCACGTGCACGCCTGCATGTGCCTGTGTATGTGCGCGCGCGTGTGCAGGGGTAATCGATCCTGGGGCTGCTCTGCAGGGAGAGAATACCTCGACCTCAGAGCTTCTTCCTCCCAGTTCTTAAGGTCTCTGATCACTTGAGTTTTCGGCATTATTTCCTTGAAGGTGCTCTGGGGCTCTCCCGGGTGGAGAGCAATCTCCTGCCCAGCACAGCGTTGCGGGGGGAGGAGGGGAATGGCAGAGTGTGGCATCCTCCAAAACAAAGCGATCGCAGACTTGCTGAATTAAAACCCAGCCGGTTTAGGACGATTTCCAGGTCGCCATGCAGCCGGGGCTGGAGTCTGTCCGGGCTGAGGCTGGAGGAGCCATTTCGGGCCAGGGATGCAACAGGGTTTGGGGAGCCGCGGGCAGGAAGAGAAAGGGCCACCTAGCGGGCTTTGTTTCTGATTCGGGCAGGTTCCCGAGCCGCAGATTTCAAACGCGAAGCTAACCGAAGCACTTCCTCGCACTAATTGGAAGGGGAAGGGAGTGACTCATGTTACACCAGCTCGTATCTTCCCTCCCCGTAACTGCTAAATTGTAGCTTTAAAAGGAAGTGACATGGGGTGGGGAGAGACGTCAGCTGAGGACCACTTTTTTTTTTTTCCCCCGAAGGGTCCACCCCATGGGTGGAGTCTCGCTTTTTCTTTCCAGTGTTGGCTGACTTACAGCTCCTATAAACTAGTGGCAATTTCTGCACCCCAGCCTGCTCCCTTTCAGTTTCTGATTTCTAAGCCCATGTGGCAGGGGCCGCCAGAAAAGGAGGTATGTGCTGTTCGTGCTGTTTCCAGGCGACTTCACCTCTGGGCGTGGCGGATGTCTGTGTCTCTCTCTCTATCACTGTTCTCCTCTCCTCGGCTGGACCTCACTAAAACCTCTGGAAGGGGTAGGTACAGAACGAGGAAGAGTGGAAGGTGGAGAAGGAAGTGAGGCGACAGTGGGGACGTGGAGGGGGCAGAGCCTGGAAGGCAGAGGGGCTTTGCGCCCTTTCTTTGTGCTCAGCAGGGTGAGCGTGCCTTTCCAGGTTGTGATTTCCAGCTGCTGTTCTGGGCTGAGTTCCCCCCCCCCTTAGGCCTCCTCCCCTTGGGTGAGAGCGTTTTCTCTGCAATAGATGAAGCTGGGGAGAAGGTTCCTGTTACAGATCGGTCTCCTGTGTCATGCAACACGTTCTTCCGTCCCTGGCGTTTCTATGGCAACCACAAAAATAATACTACACAAAAGGCAGCCCCGATATAAATGGATTTATTTGTATTTCGGTCGGAGCCTGCTTGCTGCTTTCCGGTTGGTGATTGCCTCGGCTTGCTAAAATCCAGCGTGGCTTTGTGGCTACCCCTCCTCACTTTCATTTTGGTTTTTCCCTATCACAGGAGGGCTGGGGGAGGGGTGTTGTCAAGGAAACGGGCATTTGTAGTTACCTCTTTATTACTTAATTTTTGGCCTCTGAATTTCTCCATCCTCTCTAGGAATTATAGAAGGAATGATTTGGTGTTTGTGCAAGTCCTCAATTCTGGTCTGTTTTAGAAAACCAGGACAGTTCTCTAGATGTGTTATTAATGCTGGAACCAGACGAAGGGTGGGGGGCGAGCACTCACTTCTTTAAAGGAGGTGAGATCCTTGAAAAAAGTTTCAGAGTGTCTGAGAATCAGCACTGAGAAGATACATCATTATCTGCCTCACAAGTTTGCCTCATAGTCTAAATATTCAAAAGAGGGTTCTTTGCTCTAGCCTGCACTTACTCGGCACAAAATCCAAGTTCAACAAGTATGAGTGATCGTCCTTAGACGGACTCCCCATGTGATTGGCTCTCATGGAGGTGAGGGTCCATGGACCTTCTCTTTTTCAAAATTGGACAAGTGTTAACCCACCTGTGATTATTAGTGAAGCATCTGCAGTTAGAAAAGACTATCATGAGAAGAGGGAGAAATGTGTGTGTGTGTGTGTATGTAGGTGTGTGTGTAGGTGTGTGTAGGTGTGTATGTAGGTGTGTAGGGGTGTGTGTAGGTGTGTGTGGGTGTGTAGGTGTGTGCATGTAGGGGTGTGTGTGTGTAGGTGTGTGTGTGTGTGTGTAGGTGGGCAGGGACAACAGGGACAAGTCAAAGTCCTAAGTTAAAACTACTGAATCTTCTTACTATCCTCTATGGGGAGAAAGAGAATTGATTTTCAGGAAAAATATAAAGCATGAGAGAAAAGTACCATCTACCCAGTAATAAGCAAAGTTAAATATGATTAGAATCAATCACACATCTGCTATAAAGGCATAGTCTAAATGGGCCTGTTAACAGGTTGGAATTGAACTGAGGCTTTTATTCAGTATATCTGAGGAAATATCTAAGAATGGACACCATTCCCCTAATTCGGGATCCTGAATTACAAATTAGCCTTTATAAGACAGATCAATAGTCCTCTCATCCTTGAATCTTAAAATTATCTGTAATGTTGAATAAAGATTTCTGAAGGTCACTCAGCCCTCATAGTGCCTTCCTGCTACTGAAGCCAAAAGCATTACTTAGAAACCTCAGAGTAACCCCTCAGCATGGAAACAGAAAGAAGGGGTGGTTTTAATGAGGTTCTGTTTGTAGAGATCCTTACCTAAACATGCTATTATCTGGGACTTAAAAAACTTACCATAGTGCAAGAGATCTCAAGTATTGTAGATACAAAAGTTTTCTGAAGATGGGGACTGCGTAGCATGGCACAAGACTAACCAGAACCAGAGTTAAAGCCCAGAGTAATTAGTTAAAGGGCATAAAACACAGAAAAATGGCCTTAAAAAGCATATTACTCTCGCTTTGAAAATGCATGCTCATACCCACGGCAGTTGAATTGTAGGCTTTCGATGTTTGCAAAGAGCATGGAAAGCAGTCTTGCTAAGTTACTGTTTTTCTAGCTTGAAAATGGTCCTCAAGGATGTAGATTTACCCCGTGACCCTGCAGAGCAGATGGCCAGTGTGTAAGTCAAAGTCTGTGATGGAGTTTCCAGACCTAGCAATTTCACAACAAAAAGCCTTATGGAATGGAGTTCAAAGGGCAAGAATTGTTTGGAAGCACAGCCAGAAATAAATAAATAAATACTGTCCTATCATCGGACCCTGAGCAGGGGTTAAAAACATAATCAACATCCTTGACCTGGGGAAGGTCAGTGGAGCTGTAGATGCAAAGCGAATTCAGGGTCGCGGGAAAGAGGCTGAGTAGATGTGAGAGCAAAGAAGTTGGAGTCAGTTGCCACAGGGCTGGGACCTCATTGTCTGCAAGGCTCTGAATTGGGTGCCCAAGTCAAAGATCCACCAAACGGGGGGTGACAGCACGTGCAGATGTGCACACAGCTGGAGAGCAGGAGGCTAGGCAGGAGGGAGACGGGAGAGCAGATGCGGTTAGTCTGAGAAGAACATGACCAGGATGAGGCTGTAACAGTTGGAAGGAGAGGAGATGGGCAAATCAAAGTGAAGAAGGCAAAGCTGTCCCAGCGAACGGGTGTGGGGCTGGGAGATGCAGCGTGGTTCTCCATTCTTGTCCCAAGTGGGGAGGAGTCCTGTCGTTAGTGTGGAAATAGGGCAGGTATACTCTGTGCTGGTGAATAGAGATTCAGGGACAGAATTTTGTGTAAACCACAAGAAAGATTGGTAAGAGAAAGATGTGAGTAGGTGGCGGAATCCTACCTAATCCAATTATTTTTGAAGTGAAGGCCAGACTTAAATCAGACTTTAAAGAAGTAAGAAATCTGGGAGGGGGGACCCCACCTGTCCCTACAACGTCATCCTAATGATACCTACCATCGCCATAGCTTTAAATTATGGGGAGCTCAGATGATCACGTGGCCGACTTACTACATTTTGTGCAATCTGCTCTATTCTCAAAAGGAGGTCTAACATGCATGTGAAGGCTCTGCATTCATAGTTCTAAATGGTTTTTGATACCTACATGTTTTGAGAGACATATGTGATCAAGCCTGGCTTAATAATCACCCAACACCACCCAGAGCCTGGGCAACTCTAATTCAATAGTCTTTGTCCAAGACAGAATCTGTTTGGAAAGCAAGTGTTGGTACTCTGAAATTTGGCTTCGTGGTATGGACCGGGGAGGACCACTGCTGAGGCTGTGGGAAAGGGCAAGCTCACATCAGGAACTCATTCTTTTAACAATATTCATTGTATCTTATATTCTTTTAACAGTATTCATTTTATCGTTGTGTCACTATATTCTTGTATTTGCCAAGTGCTATGGACACAACTATGAGCAAAACTGGATACAGAGTAAATAGCTACAGTTTTCAAATATCCGAAGGGTTTTTCAGAGAGATACGTCTAATGACTGAGTAAGGAGAAAGATCTTAAAATAAAAGCAATTTTTGGTGAACATTATCATGGAATGATCTATCTAACCTGTCTCCTCTATTTTTCAAACACACTCTCCTTCCACCAAAGATTTTCTACCTGTTTTCGATTTTGTCTTCACTCTGTTACTCCAGTCTGGTTTTTTTCTGCTTCATCCTGTGATCCTAAATCCTACTTTTCAGTCACCTTTCATTCATTCATATATATACATGCTTACATCATCCACCCCTTTATTCATTCACTCAACAAATGATATTGACTATCATGTGTCAGGCACTATAAGTCATGGACATAGCAATAAATAGGAAACTATTTCTTTCCTAAAGAAGCTGAGGAACGGGGTGCCTGGGTGGCTCAGTTGGTTAAGCGACTGCCTTCGGCTCAGGTCATGATCCTGGAGTCCTGGGATCGAGTCCCGCATCGGGTTCCCTGCTTGGCGGGGAGTCTGCTTCTCCCTCTGACCCTCCCCTCTCTCATGTGCTCTCTCTCTCTCAAATAAATAAATAAAATCTTTAAAAAAAAAAAAAAAGAAGCTGAGGAACGAACAGGGAGACAAATGTGGAAACAGTCCCTTAAACCAGGGAGGGTTATTTTTGAGAGAGGCATTTATTGACTAATGGCACTGCATGCTTCTTTCATTGAACAATTTTATATATAGATTGTGCTTGGCAGAGAAGGAAAGAGCGGTTAGCTGTTTGACCATTGTCCATCTTAGCATTTTCTTGTATCTTTTGCACTGGTTGAGCTTATGGCTGGTGTCAGGAAACATTTGTCGATTAATGAAATGGGAAGAGGTGGGATTTCTGACCCTGGAGCCATAGAGGAATAGAGTCCAGAAGACTTACATGTTCTGTTTCTGAAAAGCATAAGCCGAGCATTAATCTCTCAAAGTTCCCTCATAGCAACTCATTTATGGACTTCCCCGGGACTATAGCTCCCTCCAGATGGACTTCAAGTATAGCATTTTTAAAAGGGAAATTCCCACCATCATCAAAATTGTATGCCCACTGGTTTGCTAGAGAGCCTCTTGTCATTTAGAGCTAATTCCCATAACACATTGCAAGTCCATGTCTCCTCTGACAAAACCAAGTAGGTTTCAACACCTCAAATCTAAATAGCCAAAATAAAGAATGTTAAAACCTGTTGGAGTACTTATCCTATTTGTATTTCCTGATGTCACAAAGCTCCTCAGAATTGTTTTGCCCCCATTTGATTTCTACCTTCACCACGGAGATTACATGGGCAACATAAACCAAGTTCATCCGGAGCACCACCCTCCTCTGCTTGTCTGACCTTCAGAGAAAACATTTAGCAGATCCCCCTTCTTCTTCGATATTTTGATCTCTGAAGAGGTCAGCCTCTGCCTCCAGCATGAAGCTGTTCCAGAGTTCCAGATAACTCTGGCTGGCATAGATCTCTCCCTTCCAAATTTGG